TTGCACATGATGCAACATATAGCGAATTCTATTATTATCGGGGTTGGAACCAGTTCCAACCCAGTGCGAAACCGAACTTTTTGTCAGTGCGAACCTCAACCTGAGCTAGGTTTTAAAAACAAACGAGCAAACTGACGTTTGTCAGAAAACAAGCAGACCCAATCTTGATACCCGATCCAGGTTGGAACTGAATAATAAACGAATTCGCTAATAGTGGGAATACTGGTTGACAGGGTACGAGAAACAGGGCTTGCTTTGGACGTCTTCGTCATCGTAGGTTGTGCTGAGTTTTTTCAGTAACGGTGTGCGTCTGCGGAACTCATGACGCAACGATGGCTGTTGGTTGGTTCCGCTGAGACTACCGTTAGAGACAGTATATGGTAACATTAATGACGTCACAGTTGTAGTTTTGGCACTAGTATGATGAGGTACTGACTCAATCGTCGTCGTGGTGTAGCTAGCGGACGTGATTCTGGTTCTACGTGACACGGCGAAGAAACCACGTGATGTTCCACCATTCTGATGTTGGTATTTGATGGAAGCGGGGTGATGCACACGACGATCGACGGATGACACACGAACGACACAGTCCCAGAGTATCCGCAGACTTCAGATGGGACCGTTCGTGGCCGAGAATTGATGATGTGCGTCGCGAAATTGATAAAAATCGCTTCGCACAATCTCCGCTCGCTCACCTAGAGAGAGAGAGAGCGCGCACCAGGAGCACCGATTTTCAACACATACATAGGAACTGCACTCACCCGATTACTTTCTGTCGTAGAAAACGCCTTCACAAATTGATCCGCTTTTTGGAGTCTTGCATAATGTGCCAAAGATCCAGTTCAACGGTGTCAATGATGACACGAGACGTTTTCGCATTGGGGAGGCATTCACCATTTCTGCTACGTGCCCACAGACCGGCTGCCGATGGCGTCCGCAGAGTTTATCGCGATGGCGATCGCGCACAATACAGCGGGGTCCTATTGTAAGTAGGAGCGATGGGACGCCAGGCTCGAGTGTCTATCCGGCTCGAAGGACCAATGTTGACGCCGGGATATACTCGCCGATACTCAGGGCCGGGGGTGCAGTAATCTTGCGCAAGAAATACTTTACAGTAAAATTGTCCACTTTATTTACATACAATTCTTACTACACCCTTTCCAAGTCTGTGGGCGAGAGGTGCAACAGGTCGAGCGAGCGCGCGCGATGCACGGAGTTTGTCCGTGCAGAAGAGGACCGTTTGCTTCGGCGGTCAACAAACTAACTGCTGGTTTGGAGGGGGGGGGGGATCTCTCATACTGTCCTTGTATACTATTGACCAGCTGTATATATTTCCATCGATCCTGTGAGTATAGATAGGACAATAGCCTCCAGTCTGCCCCGTATGATCATATGAGATCTGTGAAGAATAGTGGAGAAGCTCAAAATAGTAAAAAAAAACTATTGTTTTTCAGCATCGACTGCTATCAGCTGTTTAGGTAGAGATGATACGATAACAGTGGAATCTCAAGTAAGGTAGCAAGGAGAGAATAAGCAGTTCACGTTCGGCGTGAACACATCAATGGTCGAGTGCACCGATGAATTTGAGTTCAGTCACTCGAGAAAAAGTGACACAAGCTGCGGGCAATGTTTACTAATCATGAACACTAAGTGTTGATTATTCATTATTCATGAACATTTAGTGTTCATGATTAGTAAACATTGCCCGCAGCTTGTGTCACTTTTTCTCGAGTGAGTGAACTCAAATTCATCGGTGCACTCGTCCATAGCAGAGCCGGTGACTAGAAACTAACCCCTTTCAAACCCGAATATAAAAATTAAGAAAAAGAATAGCCAACCATGATTGTTGTGAGTAAGATATAAAAGCCTGATAATTGAATATTTAGTTCGTGCGATTATTTAGTTTGGGTCCCGCTGATTAAAGGGTCTAGAGGTCGTATTGGGGGTAGTTATTTGAGGGACTCGCCGGGTACGTGTAAACCTTGGCTCTTCCCATGCAAGTGGCTAATATGTTTGCTTGGGGCTTAAGTGGAGAGGTTGATACACCTAAAAAGGAACCTTTCGGTCAGTAGCCCGTTACACGTTGTGTGAAGTTCATCCACTTTTGTCGTTGCTCCGTTGGAAGTATGCAACTGGAGATGTCAGTAGAAATAAAGCTGACTACTAGATTCAGCTTCGCAGCTAGCTGAGCAAGCGGATCCCACTCAGATAATCGCTACATACCGTAGAGTGGAGGAAAATTATACGTTCAAATCAAAGGAACACACTTAATCACGGTTTCCTTGTTCGGTAATTTTTTTTACAGTTTTCGAACTGTAAATCACAAAAACTACCGAACATTCAGCTGTTCTCAATAAAATTACTGACGTTCATTAGTTTTTGCAAGAAACTACTGAATGTGGTAATAGTAATCACTGAATTGACCGTAAAATAACAGTTTTACGGGAAATGACTAAAACTCGGAAAAATAGAACACCGAGATTATGTTTTACTGAAACAGTCATCAAACGAAATTCCAAAATTACTGATCACACTAGTAAATTGGACTCCTTTACGTCATTCTCCTCCGTTCCACCACGCGCACTTGAATCCAGAAATTTGTCTGTGAAAAAAAATTAGTTAAACGACTGGCAGTCAACGCAGGAGTGCAAAATCATACGAAATCGGGCAGTTTATGCACTCCTGCATCGACTTCCAGATGTTCCATTGAATTTGCAGCAAAAAATTCAATTGTGTGTTGCAGTGCTCCAGACTTACGCACGCAATCTGGCACTCCAAGAAAGCAACCAGCCGGCTGAACCACGAGGAAGTATTAAGCTGGACTATAGCTCAAGATTAGTCTATAAAGCATCATTGCTATTATGCCTCTAAACAAATAAACCTGAGTCCCCTAAAAAAATCTTAAAATATCTGAAATATTTTATTTATTACTCATTGATACCATCAAAATACTGGAAAACTCAGCAAAAATAATGTAAACAAATAAATTACTGCAAAAACTCAGCAATTTTTTTACTGACTAAAATGGTAAATTTTGACATTTCAGGGATTTTTCCATTTACCGAGTTTTCAGTTAAACAGAAAACTACTGAGTTGATTGCTGAAAACTCAGCTGTTTAAAACCCCAGTAAAATTTTACCGACTTCGGTAATCTAAACTCTGTGTGAATCGATACTTCATTGCTTATCCAGCACAATCTGGCTGAGTTTTTGGTAGGGAACATATGATTTGACATTTGGGTTGTGTCGTTTGACGTGTAAACGTTCAAATTCGATCGTTTACACGTCAAACGACACAACCCAAACTTCTAATCTTACGTTCCCTACCAGAAACTCAGCCAGATTGTGGCGGCTATAAGCGCTCGTAAAATATTATACTGGATTGCACAACCGTGCACAGTTAATTTTCCGTTATGCCGATGTAAAATCAGTCGAGTTACGCATATCGCCTGTCGCCTGCTGGGGGCACCGTTCAGCACGTGAGAGTTTACGACCTACCACCAGAAATCCCGGATAATCTTTCGTTGGTGGTGGGGAAACAACGGTGATGTGAAGCGTGTCATTCGGGAAACATTCCCGGCCGCCTTGAGCCTCGATGTGCTGAGAGGTGAAAAGGGAAATTAACATGGACGCAAAAAAGGCGATTCCCAACTTGCTGCATTTGCTTAATCGAAAGGGAAACATATTCTATCAAGGGAACAACAACGGATGAACTGGTTCGCCAAGCGGAAGGATCGTAAACAGCCAGTACAGCAGTCAATGGCCAACGATAAAAACACAGAAGAAGCGGATGAAGTGCTGGAAGAAAAGATAGTGGAGATGGATGTGACGTCCCCGGATGCTGACAAGAACAACGAGAGGAAGCAAGCGCTGCTGAGAAACAGCAGCTATCTGTTTTCAAACATCGAAGAGACGGGTATTATTACTATATATTCGGGACAGTGGACTATACCGAGAAGGAGCGGATAAAAGACTAAGAGGAGGTCAAGCGGCTGGCGCTGCTGAAGGAAATCATTTGGAAGAAGCAAGGGAGTTGAGGGCACGGCTGATAGCGAAATCTAAGCTCAAGTCGCCTCCCAGGAAGAGTGAGGAGAACTCATTAACATGGCCTATCATTAAAATTATATTATTGAAGAATTGAATTCTCGACACGTTCCGAGTAGGAAACACGTATAAAGCTCAATCAACATCCAAGATGATGTGTTTCGATCCAGAGGTAGCGAAGGAGGATTTTATAAAGCGAGTAATGGCGCTATAATCATTAACCATATAGGGCTAGGACAAGAGTTAATGCGCATGTCCCAACCGCCAAAGGAAAATCGAGTATCACTTAACCTTTTTAGACAAGATGTTCTTCTTCTTCTTCGCATTTCAAGCTTATTGCATATCGCATATTAGCTTATTGCGTGCTCTCAACTTAGTGTTCTAGATGCACTTCCACAGTTATTAATTGAGAACTTTCGATGCCTGTACCATTTTTGCATTGGTATAATTGTGTGGCAAGTCCAATCATACTTCTATGCCCAGGGAAGTCGAGAAATTTTCCAACCCGAAAAATTCCTACACCGGACCGGGAATCGAACCCAGCCACCTCCAGCATGGTCTTGCTTTGTAGCTGTGCCTTTACCGACTGAGCTAAGGGAGGTCCCTTTTTTTTAGACTAGATGCTCCCAATGAAATAACAAACCAACGAAAAGTACGGTATGAGATGTCCACGTTTCATTAATTTATTGGATTCTAAAGCATCGTGTTTAAATCTTCGATTCAAACAGGCTCGATGTTTCTGAATCATCTTGCCCCTTAAATGCCGCACAGTTTTGACTTTTTATCAACCAGGTCAGAGATCTCGAGAAGAAGTAGTGTTTACAGGCTGCAGGAAAGCGAGCAATTGAGTTGTTTGGAACTTCTAAACCGGAAATTGTAGAACTCGCTTGTAGTAGATAGGCTTCCTAAACAAAAAAAAAAGCATGGACTTTCGGCACAGTAACCAACGACCCCGTCTCAAATCACCACGATTTCGTTTATTCACGTTGTTTTTCCTTTTGTTCAACGAATCATACGACACCCATATGTATCTAAATACTACGGGGTCAGTACGTACCAGTTTTCCAGTTTTCACAGTCTGGATGATATTTACTCATAAATTCAACATTTTTATCTGTATGTGTGTGTGTGTATGTGGGTGTGTCTATGAATTGCATCGTACAGCTAGATAGCTTAGCACGTATGCGGTTGTTTCATTTATTTTGTTAAACTGTGTGCTTACATACGTAGTTTTGTAGTTTTCAGGAAACCATATAGGCACATTTTCACTTGTTTACTCATAGTTTCACTTTTGTGTGTTATTTTAAATATGTCATACTTAAACGCCTACGCACTTATCTTACTCTGGTTTCTGATTTGTGTGTTTTGTGTATTCGAATAAATTCCTTAGATGATTACTTAAATAGAGTGTTTTTTTCTTTCTCTGTTTGCATCTCCCGTTTTCTTGTGTTTATAGTAAATGATTGCACATTCTGATGAATATCTTTTCATTTTGATCACGGAAAAATAAAATAGTGAAAACAAAATAAGGAAACTTTTCTAGTTTTGTTTCACAATAAGAGAATCGTTCGGCTTGTTTCATATTTCATATTCATAATAACCTAATCCTATTTCTATTGTTTAAATTGTTTTTATGAAAAATAAAAATACCACTTTGTTTGCAGATTTGTTTCTAAGTTTGTTTTGTTTATTAAATAACGATTGTTTGTTTGTTTGTGTTGTCCACAAAATTGTACATCTACACGAACATAAAACTGAGAAAGAGAGACACGATCCAGCAATGTACAATTTACGGATTATTTAAATATATCGTACTGCCTTTTCATTCGCTTGAAATTCATCATTTACAAAAAGAAAAAAATGAACGGAAACTTATCGTTTTATTTACAGAAAATTTGGAATTTTTACACCTGTCACACCATTTAGATTTTGTAGATTTTTCTTTTAATTGTTATCAGGAATGTACACGAAAAAACGTATCACCACCGCAAGTTCAGTCACGATTGGACAAAAAATCCCCTCCGATTTCTTCTAACTACTAGTAAAAACTAAAAAAATAAACGATAAAAACGATAATAACGATCAAACTAAAGGAATTTGGCTCCTCAAAAAGCTTCAGCTAGCTTTGCTTGTTTTGTCAATGAATGATGATTTCGGTAGTGTAGCAGTCGAATGGCAGACTTGTGCAGGTTCAGCGACCCGCAGCTTAAACCTCTAGACACGAGATAAATGGCATTGTTGCTGCTATAAAAACAAAAAAACAATTTCCTAAATAATTATAGTGGATAAAAAAAAAAATCAAGAAAGCACCGTTTCCCTAAACCTAGATCGAAAGTACGAATGTGTTCTCTACGAGTTAAACTATCTGTAATGTATGGAACTTGTAACCTAGTTCTGCTTGCAGTATACAAATTGCCTAAAATTAACGGTCTGTAATTCAGCTATAAAACCAAGGAGCTTCATTCTGAATGAAACCGAGACGGAATCTAACGAACCTAACGCAAAGAGCAAATTATTCTTAAAGAAAATCACATTTCCTACTCGGCTGCGTCGAAGGCAAGTTTGCTTTAAAACATTTTATGGCATGCTAGGTTTTATAGCAAAGCTTGTATCACCAGCCGGACGCCCCCCCCCCGGACCCGCAGCCGGTTTTTAGGTGTTGGTCGACAGCTGCGTGCCCGCCGAAGTAGACGGAATGGCACTGAGTGCGTTACTCAAGCTACTACTGCTGCCGCTGCTGGTTGGAACCGTGGAGAACATCGAACCGGACGCGGTGGCCGTCGAAGTCACTAGTGACGACGGCGATTGAACCGAGGCAGAGGAACTGGGTGAAGACTTCTTCAGGGCGGATATGCTGATTTCCGGTTTGATCCGGAGTTGCTGTTCGATCTGCGGTGCCATCAGGGATAAGGCCGAGGGAATCTGCTGCGAGAGATGGTGCTGCTGCTGCTGCTGTTGGTGGTGGTGGTGATGGTGCGGGGAACGGTCATCATCGGAGCTGGCACTGTTGGCTGTGGCGGCTGCTGCTGCGGCTGCCGCCGCCAGTGCCGTCAGCTGATCATGATCCGATTGAGATGCGGCCGCTTCCTGAAGCTGCGCCGGAAGTGAAAAAAAGATAGGGAACCGGTCAATTTCAGAAATTTGAGTTACGCGAGGTGTCTAAGCTACTGGTCGTCTAGCTACTGGTCAACTAGTCTACACTCAATGCTACCGAAACGGTTTTGCTAAACTACTTTGACTGCCCTTCTCTTCCTGTGTGGTCTGTCCCTGAGCGAAGTGTTCCACGATGACGAGGCCAGGACGTTGCTCAGACGGTGCTGGTGGTGGAAGGCAAGTTGGGTTGCTGTGGCCCGGGTATCGGTGGCGGTGGCGTCCGGATCGTACAGACCGCAGATATCGACACGGCCTGTTCCTGTTCGGAAGCTCGGTAGCTCATGTCCAGGGGCGCAACTGCCCCAACCGGAGTTACCGTTACCGAAGCCTTGGCGTTGGCAGCTAGCAACTTGCCGGCAACGTCCTGCTGTAGCCGTAGCATACTTACTTGCTCCAGGTAGCTGCTGATGGTCGACGGGGTCGTGTGCATCAGTTCGGCCGCCCGCGGTAAACTGATGATGCCCCGCTGCAGCATGTTAATGATGTCCGTAGTGGTCGCCACACCGGCATCGTTTGGTGTGGGCCACATGTTGTTCATCCGGGATGCCGCCATGAAGGGACCCCTACAATAAAAATTACAAGATTAGAACCTATTTTTAGTCCGGAAGATGGTCACGCAGGTAACTCACCGATACGGATGTTTAAGGCAGCCGTACGTCTCCCGATACCTTCCGTAAAGGGTACCGTAGGAAACGCCCAGCAGTTTCGCTGCCTTTTTCATCTCCAGCGTCTTGTTCTTGATTCCGTCCATGACCCGTTTGGTGAACGGTTCCTCCCAGAACTGCGGCCTCCGACCCTTGGTCAGGTAGTCGTTCATCTTGATCACGTCCTTCCACTCTTCCTGCTCCTGTGGAGTCAGGAATACGGAGTTGTTCTGATCGTTCGGGCTGGGAGGGGACTGCTCGTCAAACTCGAACTTGGGTCCCGAGGTGGACATGTAGTCCTGGGGGGTGTCCGGCCGTTCGAGTTTCGGGATCAACTTCCGGGGGATGTGCGTGTCTTCGTCGAATTCCATCTCGTGCAGGGTCTCCGGTGGAACCGTCCGACTCTGCTGTTCCAGGTAGGAAGCGGTGGCTGACGATTGGTGTTGGTGTTGCTGGTGTTGGGATTGCTCGTCACGGACCTGATCGTTGGAGCTGTCGTCCATCATGACCGCTACCAGCTGGGAGCTGGACGTGAATGGCGTGGAACTTCCTGCACCGCCTTCCACGTGCGAGATCTTGGGGCTAAAACGAAAATAAATCATATTACTCACAGTTGCCGGAAGATGGCGCCAGCTACTACTTACATCTGCTGAAACGTGTCGTACTCCTCGTCCAGCGGAGGTCGACCACGTTTCTTCTTGTGTCCGAAGTAGTTGATGGGCGAGGCACAACTGGCCGGATTCCTGGGTGATCCCGCCGCCAACGGCGTCAGTAGTGGCAGGTTGGGTGAATCTGAGATTCGCTGCTCCAGACTGCTCACCGTCAGCGGGGTCAAGGACGAGCCTCCGAGCTGCGGTGCCAACAGTTTCTTCGTTTCCACGATCTTAATACTGTTGTTGTTGTTGATGCTGTTATTGTTCCCGTTCTTCACGCTCACACTGTTGTTGTTGTTGTTATTGTTCCCGCTGGCATCACTGCCGGTGGTGCTGCCATTCTCATCATCCCGCCAGGAAACCTCCGCCAGACCTTTGATCCGCAGCTCTTCGGCCGTCTTGAGCAGCGAGGCCAACGATCCGTGCTCGACGTTGATCTCGCCCTTGTACATGAACTCGATCAGACACCGGATGTCCTCGAACTTGGCATCGCGCATGATGATGATCGGGTCCTTCTCGGTGCTGCAGTTCGTCAGCAGCTGATCGAAATAGGTACTGCAGGCGCACAGGACAACGCGGTGGGCACGGATCGTTTGACCTTCGCAGGCCAGGGTCACATCGCAGAAGCACCCGCGGTCCAGGAGCTGCGAGAACATGGTCTGCAGGTTGCTGTGGTGGTACTTCCACCGGAGGCAATACTGCTGCGGTAGCATGGTTGTGTGAGGGTGGCTGTGGGTGTGTTTGAGCGCACGCGCGGCTAGGTAGTAATGGGCGATTCTGTCTATTGTGAATTTGTCAATTTTTATGGCAACCTGGAAAGCATAGAGAAGGGGGGAAATTGTTTCAAATCAGAAAATTGATGGCTAACAAATTATGGGCCGTTGTTGAAATGAGTAGCAATGGGCGATTTGTTTTGATTATGCTGAATTTTGAAAGTTTGAAATTTCTTAAAAGATGAAAATCGGAAGTCATAGCAACAATCTATACGAAAGTAACAATTTTAAATCTGTCAAAGTTTATGTTTGTTTTGATTCGCCTTATAAATTTAACAGAGTTTAATGAGGGGTTCCTGGATTTTCCTCCGTTGCGAGGGGTTAGCTTGGGACCGAAGGTCTGGTACTTGCTGAGCCAAAAGATTGAGCATGTTTCCTCTGGACCCCATGGGCTTTGTTGTAATAAGCCTTGAATTTGATGTTGAATAAAACGTACAGAGAGTCTGTACTTTTAGTCGTAGCCAGACGCCTTTCAATTACGATCTAGTAACCTTTAGATTATGGGCCCAGACAGGCACCATAGCGACGAGTTTCACTGAAGATTCTGAACAAGTGTCCATGTTGTCTCAAATGCAGACCGGTGCTGGAGATGCAAACGGAAGACAATCTGAAGGCGGAGACGTATCGCTGCCCATAGTGGAGCGACTTCGGTGTCGAGAAAACTATTCTTCGTGGGCATTCGCGACCAAAATGATGCTAATCTGTGAGGAAACGTGGGACGCAGTGAATGCACTGGAAAATGGCGATCCGGAGAACGCACAATCACTGGAGACACGAGCAAGAATTTTCCTATAGCTTGATGGAATCAGCAAATACAGCGAAGCAAGCATGGGACAACCTCAAGTACGGCAGATTGGATTACTACGTAAGCTGACCAGTATCCGTCTAGGCGACTACTCCACCGTGGAAGCGTACGTAAATGAGATGATGAGTACAAGTCATAAGCTGAGCGATGCAGGATTCAAGGTTTATGACGAGTGGTTGGCCAGTCTGCTCCTATTGGGACTCCATGAGGTGTACGAATCGATAACAATGGACCTCGGGGCGATGGATTCTACAAGAAGTCAAGACGCCCAAATGTCAAGTCTGGCCCTTCGCTCATTTTCAACTTCTATTCAATTTTCATACTGCCGTACTCTATCGGAACTATCTACCTACCCTCTTCTAATACCATTCTCTAGCTAATAATAAATTATCACACTAACGCTTCATGTTAGATAGCATTTCCAACCAACTCTGAAGATGTCAAGGTTTACAACAATTGAAGCTCAAGCGGACAGGATGGCACCGACAAACCGACTTGAAACTTAAACTTAACTCTTGATCGAGAATCCATAACGGCGGATTCAAATGTGCACCGATCCCATCTGTCAAAACCATAGAATTTTTTTATCTAGATAAAAATAATTAGACCGGAATAGATTAGACACGAACCAACTTGTACATTTTGCATGCATGTTTGTGGCTAGGATACAAATTTTTCGCGAACACGGCGGCAGATGTCAGTTTTGTGCTTTGATCAGAAATTTGATGGTACTTTGTATGGTCATTCATGTCGGTTTGTCGGTGAGGATGGTGCGTTCTATTCCCAGCAACAGAAAGGGTCGACATCATTCAACAAGCTACAAGCGTTTGTCGCACTATGCTTCGGAGTGTCCAGAAGAAGGCCAAATCGAACAAGCATGCTGCATTTACGGTAACCCATTCCTCAAGCAGGCGTGAGACTCGGCACGAGGTGAGTTGGATATTCGATTCAGGTGGAACTTCGCACATGTGTCACAGCGGCATTACAATGGAAAATACGAAGGATGTTCAGCAGCGAATCTGCGTGGCAAACAATGCTGTATCGACGGTAGAGGCCGTTGGTAGCGTGAAGATCGAAGCAGATGTCGGCGATGGCACGTGCAATGTTAATTTGTCCAACGTTCTCGAAAGATGCATGCGAGGTGCGATCGGCGTGGCCAAGGAAGTGTTAAGAGTGTAACCACAGTGTACTAGTTGCCCCTACCTTTGGTACGCCCCTGTGCGTTTTTCTACTACATCATTCGCTCAGAGTAAACAAAAGTAAAACACGTTTCAATAAAGTTCAATTTCGTTTTTCCTTAAATCGCTATTTTTCTCGGTTTATTTCCTCCTGGTGTATCCGAAACCACTTCAGGTTTTGGGCCCGGTCGCGTTTTATCGGATAAGTATCGGAAGTGCGGTGTTTTCGTTATGGAGGAGGAAAAGTTCGATCGTGTGTTGTTGCCGTTGTTCGATGGCTTGAACTTCGCTGCCTGGAAGTTCCGGATGCAGATTCTCCTGGAAGAGCACGAGCTTGTGGAGTGCATCCAGACATATGCAGCGGAAGTGGAGGACCTGATTGTCCTGGAAAACGACACGAACGAAGTGAAAGCGGAAAAAGCGAGGAAATTGGAGAAACGCATGAAGAAAGACCGCAGATGCAAGTCCCTGCTGGTTTCGAGGATTCACGATTCCCAGTTGGAGTATATCCAAGGCAAGCAGTACCCCAAGGATATCTGGGACGCCCTGCATCGGGTATTCGAGCGCCGTAGCATCGCGAGCCGCATGCATTTGAAGCGGGAGATGCTGCAGCTGCGGTTCGAAGGCGGAAATCTACAGCAACATTTTCTTCGTTTTGATAAGCTGGTCCGTGAGTATCGTTCGACTGGTGCTGTTCTGGAGGATTTGGACGTGGTTTGCCACCTTCTCTTGACGCTCGATTCTTCTTATTCCGGAGTTGTCACGGCACTCGAGACGATGCCCGAAGATAACCTGTCGCTCGAGTTTGTGAAGTGCAGATTGCTGGACGAAGAAACCAAGCGGCGAGGTATGGAATTGGTTTCCTCGCAGGGTGCAGAAGCAGCTTTTTCCGGATCAAAGGTGGTGAAGCAGAGGAAGCTGATTTGTTTTCACTGCAAGAAGGAAGGCCATAAACAGATCGATTGCTTGGATCGGAAAAAGCAGGCAGGTAATAAGAAGCAGCAAAAGTCGAAAGCCAATGTTGCCGAAGCGGACGACGGAAAGGGAGTTTGTTTTGTCGGTGTAAGCGGCGGAATGGATCTGTCTGACCGGCATCGTACCCGGTGGTTTATTGATTCCGGTGCCACGGATCATCTCGTCCGGGACAGAGAGCTGTTCAGCGAATTGCATCGTATGGCGAAGCCGGTCGAGATTGCGATTGCAAAGGACGGTGAGACGATTGTGGCCGAACATGCCGGCACAGTGAAAGTGATTTCGGTCGTTGACGGGAAACAGATTGAGTGCACGGTCGAAAATGCACTGTTCGTACCTAAACTTCGCTGCAATTTGTTTTCAGTGCTAAAGGTGGAAAAAGCCGGTATGCGTGTGGTGTTCGAGTCCGGGAAAGCGAAAGTCTATCGAGGTTCCGAAGTCGTCGCGAGTGCGTCTCGTCGCGAAAAGTTGTACGAACTAGATTTCTACTCGGTTGGGCACAATGCCGGTGATGCCTTGTTGTCGTGCGGTAAAATTCGGAAGAGTTCAGAATTGTGGCACCGACGGTTCGGCCATCTGAACGAGAACAGTCTGAAGCAGTTAGTTCAGGATGGCATGGTTTCGGGAATGAACATGTTCCCCGCGAATGACAATCGGGACATGATTGTGTGCGATTCGTGCGTCGTCAGTAAGCAGACGAGAAAACCGTTCTCTGCGTCCGGTGGTAATCGGTCGTCGCGTGTACTTGAACTCATACATACGGACGTGTGTGGCCCTGTTACGCCGGTAGGGCTGTCCGGAGTGAAATACTTTGTCACTTTTACGGACGATTGGAGCCACTTCACGGTGGTCTATTTGATGCGATCGAAAGATCAGGTGGTGGACTATTTCGAAGAGTATGAGGCCCTGGTCTCCGCGAAGTTTGGCCAGAAGATTTCTCGTCTAAGGTGTGACAATGGCGGAGAATATAAGAACAAGCGATTCCAGAAGTTTTGCCGAAGCAAAGGAATCCAAGTCGAGTGGACCGTTCCGTACACGCCACAGCAGAACGGCGTGAGCGAGCGGTTGAACCGGACCCTCGTCGAGAAGGCTCGGGCAATGCTGGAGGATTCAGGTGTCGAAAAGAGGTTCTGGGGGCAAGCTGTGCTGACAGCGGCCTACCTGACTAACAGAAGCCCCACCAGTGCGCTGAACACGAAGCAAACAGCGTTCGAGCGATGGGAGTCCCGGAAGCCGGATGTATCGAAGGTAAGAGTTTTCGGTAGCAAGGTTTTCGTTCATGTTCCGGATGAGCTCCGGCGTAAGCTTGATGCGAAAGCCTGGAAAGGCATTTTTCTGGGATACAGCCAGAACGGGTACCGGGTTTGGAATCCCGTGAAGAAGCAGATTGTAGTAGCGCGCGATGTGGACTTTGTTGAGGACAACCTGATGGAGAATGTGTTCGTGGAGAGGAAGTGTTCCAACGGAGACGAGTTTATCCGTGTTTCAGCAGACGATGATCAAGAGGACGGAGTCAGTGTCCAACCCGTGGACCCGGAAAGGGAAACATCCGACGGGGAATTCGAAAGTTTCGACGAAGAGGAGTCTGAGGAACAGGATACCGAGTCTGAGCCAGAGGAAGCTGAGGGCGAACTGCGTGGCGAACTACGTAGACCCAAGCGGAAGCGGAATGCTCCTGCGTGGCATCAGGATTTTGAGATGGGATACGCAAGTTTTGCGTTGAGTGCGGTAAACTACGTTGATAAAATTCCAGGGACCATCGCTGAGCTGCGAAAACGCGATGACTGGAAGGATTGGAAAGCTGCGATAGAAGATGAGCTGAACTCGCTGAAGCGGAACAACACCTGGACGCTTGTTGAGAAACCGGAAGGACGTTCGGTGATCTCATGCAAGTGGGTATTCCGTGTAAAGCACGGCAAATCTGGCGGCTGCCCGAAGTACAAAGCAAGACTGGTCGCTAGAGGTTTCAGCCAGAAGCGAGGTTTTGATTATGGGGAGACCTACTCTCCTGTGGCGAAGATGGACACTTTGCGAACAGTTCTGGCGTTGGCCAACCAAAGCGGAATGCATATCCATCAGATGGA